TTATTGGTCCTTCGAGCCGGATCCTTCACCGGCCACCGCGAACTCGGTAGTGCAACGCCTGTGAATGCCTGAAAAGGAGAAGAACGTGAGAATGGACGTGACCGCCTTGTTAGCGGCACAAAGCGACGCTCATGGTCGCCTTGCCCGCTCGGTGACGAACTTGAAGAAGATGGGCGCAGAAAACATCACGCTCCACGCCGTTGAGACACGCCTCAAGCTCCTTGACCAGACTTGGGCGAAGGTCGAGGCCCAGCATGAGGCCATCCGAGCGCTCTACAAAGAGGGTTTCGACTCAAGTGAGTACAACCAGACTCATTTTTTTGACACCATCGAAGACACTTACGTGATGGAACGAAGCGTGCTAAGCGAATACGCGAGACGGCTCCAACCAGAGCCAAGTTCCGCTCCGCCGAAGGAGTCCGGTAACGTCTCCTCCGTGTCTGCGCTACCTCGACTCAAGGTGAAGACGTTTTCGGGTGCGTTCGAAGAGTGGCCTACCTTCCGCGACAGCTTCTTGTCGATCGTCGGGAAACACTCGTCCATTTCGAACATTGAACGGTTCCATCATCTGAAGCTCTGTCTTGACGGAGCTGCGGAAAGATTGATACGCCCATTAGCCGTGATTGGGGACAATTATCCGCGCGCGTGGCAAATGTTAAAGGAACATTACGAGAACAAACGGGAAGTTGCGCGCTCTAATTTCGCCGTGTTCACCAGCACTCCCAAAATGAAAAGCGACACCGCCGAAGAACTTGATCGGATATACAACGCCGTGACCAGTGTCGTGAGCGGGCAGGAGGGTATCGGTCGACCCATCGCTTCACACGGCTGCGATTTGCTGAACCATCTCGTTGCCGAGCTTTTCGACCCGAAAACTCGCCTCGAGTGGGCCTCTTACACAAGCGAATCGGACGACGTTCCAAGTCACGAGACTCTAGTGAAGTTTATTTTGCGACGAGCTCTCACTCTCAAAGTCGCGAAGGCGACTACCGCCAAGGTCTCTGGAGACCCGCCGCGATCCGCGAAGTCCCATCTCGCTAAACGGTCCATCGCCTCATCGCAGTGTGTCTTGTGCAAGGGCAAGCACCACGTCATGATGTGCGACGAATTTAAGGCGAAATCCGCGATCGAACGTAAAACCGTCGCGGAAACGCACAGACTTTGCTTCAATTGCCTCGGCTCGCACCAGTTCGCGAAGTGTCAATCCGCGAAAACGTGCGTGTCGTGTAAGGCTCGGCATCACTCGATGCTCCACGAGGCTTACACCCCGCAGACGAACTCCGAAGCCAACGCTCTCTCCGCAGTGCGTCAGGACGACGAAACCAAGGCGATTCTCCTCGCGACCGCGAGGGTGAACGTCGCCGACCGCCACGGAATACCGCATGCGATCAGAGCCCTGATCGACCAAGGATCAGAGGTCTCTCTGATCTCCGAAGCGCTCGTGCAGCGCCTGCGACTACCCCGATCTCGATCCTCCGTGTCAATTATCGGCATCGGGGGTTCCCGCACCGGGTCCAGCAGAGGACGTGTCACGCTCAGTCTCTCGTCCACCGCAAACGACGCTGAGTTGACCGTCGTTGCCTTCATCCTTCCGCGTCTCTCGCTTTACCAGGGTGCCGGCACTTACGGTGGAGCGAAGTGGCCTCACATTAAGGGACTCCAGCTGGCTGATCCACGTATCATGGCCAACGATCCAATCGAGTTGCTGCTTGGAGCGGAAGTATGCTCGGTCATCCTCGAGGAGGGTCTTCGCAAGGGAGGTCCTCAAGAGCCAATCGCTCAACGCACGCTGCTGGGCTGGATCCTGTCCGGCGGGTGCGGGGACGCCTCGTCACCAACGCCGCGCACATCTCTCCAGTGCACGGCTGAGCGCGAGCTGATCTCTCTCGTGCAACGCTTTTGGGAGCAGGAGCAAGAGGCCTCTGCTCCCGACGCTCTCACGCCGGACGAACAGCGGTGCGAGGACATATTCGCTCGCACACACATTCGCACCGAAACTGGCAGGTACATGGTGAAGTTGCCATTCACCTCTCCTCCGCCGACGATCGTGGAGACCCGCAAGCCTGCAGAACGACTGCTGCACGTCATGGAGCGAAGGTGTGAGCTCAATTCCCGGTTCGGGGAGCTTTACCGCGCCTTCCTCAAAGAGTACGAGGACGTGCGCCACATGACGTTCGTGGACGAGCCGCCCAAGTCCCTCAACCAAGGGCAGTGCTACCTGCCTCATCATGGCGTGCTTCGGGAGTCAAGCTCCACCACCAAGCTGCGCGTTGTCTTTAACGGCTCTCAGCGCACTCGGTCCGGTGAGTCACTGAACTCCCACCTTCTCGTTGGCGCCAACCTGCTGCCGGCCCTCGCGGACGTGTTGATGCGCTGGCGCTGGCACCGATACGCGCTCGTAGCTGACATCGAGAAAATGTACCGCCAAATCCTCGTTGCTCCTGAGGATCGTGACTACCAGCGAATTCTCTGGCGGCACTCTACAGCTGATCCGGTCCGCGAGTTCCGTTTGAATACCGTGACCTATGGCCTCGCGTGCGCACCGTTCCTGGCTATCCGCACGCTGAGGCAACTCGCTGCCGACGAGGAGTCCCGGTTTCCACGCGGTTCCACTATCTTGCGCCGCGACTGCTACGTTGACGACATCGTCACCGGAGCGCATGAAAAGTCCGACGCGATCGCAGTGCAGTCCGAGCTCCACCAGCTGTGCATGGCGGGCGGGTTTCCGCTTCGCAAATGGGCAGCGAACTGCCCCGAAATTCTCGCGGGAATTCCACTCGAGCACCGCCTAAGCAAGGAACCGCACTTGTGGGAACACGAGATCCACTCCACACTGGGGTTGCGCTGGCATCCGAGCGACGATGCTTTCGCGTTCACCATCCAACCCCGCACCGTTAGCAGCTACACCAAGAGGAGCGTCCTCGCGGAAACGGCGCGACTATTTGATCCGCTGGGATGGTTGTCGCCCGTTATCATTCGAGCAAAAATCCTCCTCCAGTCGACCTGGATGCAGCGGCTTGACTGGGACGCGCCGCTCCCGTCGGTGGACATCCTTCACTGGAGACGCCTCTTCGAGGAGCTCCCGCTTCTCGAGGGTCTTCGCGTCAACCGCTGGTTGGGCAGCGGAGCCGAGAACACTCTCATTGAGCTCCACGGCTTTGCCGACGCGTCCGAACGCGGATACGCCGCCGCTGTCTACCTCCGCCTTGGAGACGGCAGCAAGGTCCGCGTGCAATTGCTCGCTGCCAAAAGCAAGGTCGCTCCTATAAAACCAGTCTCGTTGCCAAGACTGGAACTCTGCGCCGCCGCCTTGCTCACGAAATTGGTAGCGCACGCTCAATCGATCCTTAGTTTGTCCACAGCTCCGACTATTCTCTGGTCCGACTCGACAGTTACACTCCACTGGATACAAGGCCATGCCTCTCGGTGGAAGACCTATGTGGCCAACAGAGTCGCATACGTCCAACAGCGTCTTCCCGAAGCCAAATGGCGTCACGTTCCGGGCATCGAGAATCCCGCAGACTGCGCCTCCCGGGGGATTGCGCCGAGCCATCTCGTCCACCATCCCCTCTGGTGGACAGGCCCTCCTTGGTTGCTCAAGGCAGTGATGGGAGATCGCACGGAATTCGTGCGCACGCGCATTGAGCAAACTTCTGCGCAGCCTCACTGACGTACATATATGTGGTAGCATAAGGTTCCCACATGAAAATAAATCTGAAAGCGAATTTAGGGAGAAAAGTTTTGAAATAAATATCTTAGATATCTTCAGTGTTCTTCATAAATTTATTTATTGATTCTTTTGTACGTCTGCAGCCGACTTATAACGCGAATACCAACATTTGTTCTGAGGGTAAAGGAAACTGCAGAAAACCTTACCAGTATTCTTACAATAAAATTTTACAATAAATAAGAAACATATAAATACAACACATAATATAATATATTAAATTATAATATATTAACATAAAAACAATACATTAATGTAATAAATGCGCTGCAATAAATAAACGTTTTTCCATGTTTCTGAAGAAAAAAAACAATTAGTAATAAATACATATGTATATATATATATACATATATACACACAATTACACAAGTGTGTGTATACCATATCGTATCCTCCAAAAATTATTTTAAAAAATAAAATGAAAATAAAAGTAATTATTGTTATATGATTATGATAAAGAAAAAAATAAGGCACTTATGCATGTAGTTCTGCATGCTATATCACAGATAGTGACTAGAAAATAAAAAATATTGCTAAATTAGGAGGATAAATTAATCACAGCATAAAAAGATATCTAAATTTAAAACTGAAAAAGTACTTATGCAAGCACATGTGCATGCTACATCACAGCTGTTATACATAAAATAAAAATTAAAATAGTAATATTATTTATTATAATTATATTGTATATATATATATAACATTATACATGAAAAATATTGCACTATATGGATATACACGTATATACATATATGCTGCCACACAAAGTAAAAAGATAATATTGCAAATTAAATGTTAATTACAGAAATCTAAAAAAACATTACATAGCCAAAACTTTAAAAATAATATATAAAAATAAAAAAAATAAAAACAAAAATGCTATACGATCATAATAAAATAATTATTGCAAATAGTAAAACATAATGTAATATAGTGTGACAGCAATTCTCAATATTATTGTGCAAATAAGTTAAGATATATTAAATAAAAAGAGAGAGGTACCAATGCTCCAAAACACGGAAAACAATGGCAAAACACAACTAAATGAAAGCACAAAAGAAATATTCTTTATATCACAAATATTGTAGCATAATTTGCTATTATTAAATTTAAAATTATGACGAAAAATTATAGAAAAGTTGGAATAGAAAGGTTAATTTATTTATCCTACTTATTTATCCTACTCTTTGGTTTTATTTATTTGGCAATAAAGATTTTGAGCATTGTGCAATTCCAAGTGTCTAGAGTCAACTTGGAAACTTTGGGAATTTAAATTATGAGCCTGAAAATTTGATCGTATTTTACATATTGAATTTAAAGAAGTGACACCGATTCGATTTCTCTTTTTATTTTTCACATCAGTAACAATAGAAAATATTCTCTCTGCTTCGGCATTTGAATGTGGAAGTGACAAAGCAGCGTATACTAATTTTTCTAAATTTGGAAACAACGATTCATCGTTAAAATCTTTTTTCTCAAAAATACTATTCCACATTTTATCAACTTCTAAATTTGCCAAAACTATTTTATCCGCGTCATTTAAAATTTCGGGTAAATTTCTCCATTCATGAGCTAAAGCCGTAATATCAGAAATGCCAAAATGTTTCGCAATATTGGATAAATCTGAAAAAATTAATCTACCTTCATCGCGCAAAGCTACCTCAGGATCTAAGAATTTAAGTTCGCGAAAAATTTCATTTTTATGTGGAAGTCGTTGCAACATTTCTTCTAACGCGGTTGTATAAAAATTTAGACAGTTTGACTTCACTTCCGTAATAAATTCAGGACATTCAGTTTTTAAATACGATTCGCACTCTGGACCAACGAAAATATTATTTACCGGTAAAAAATTAATTGGATTTAAAAGATCGTCTGACATATTTTTTAAAGCATCATATTGCAAAAAATTTTTCCCCATCTGCTTTATTAACTGCTCACTACTTTCAGCAATTTTGTG